TATGGGACTTTCTATTGTTTAGGCAACAATGACAGCCAAATGGTGTATTATGATGAAAATCTCAGTGATCAGATGTTCTTTAGTTATGTAGATTTCATCAGAAGCATTGTCCCCATCCTGATAGCACTTGCATATTAATCTGTTAAAAAGACAAATAATATCCTGTTTGATCTAATTTCTTGTCTTCAGCACTTTTATTAACACTGAGACCGATAACCTTTGATCCACCTGTTCCTTGTGCTAAAGAGTTTATTCACAAAGGTGAAGCATAACCTGGACAGGCGCATGAAAACACTGCCCTCTCCTGGACTTTAGTTGTCATTACGTGCTCTAACAGGTCATCATAGTGTTAATCCATAAAACACAAGATAAAGTAATCCTAAACCTTATTTAACGTGTGCCTTTCCTATTTGAGAAAGCTCTAACTAAAAGGATATAAGAATCAATGAAAACACATTTATAAACTTGAAAGGAACCAGCTTGTGCTAGTGTCACTTACTGTATTGGATTTAGAGCTCAGGAACAGGTGACCTTGCCAACAATTATGCTAATTGTCAAACTGATCAAGATTATGGTGCAGTAGTTATTTCCAGCCTGAAGAGTCCTTGTCAGAGAAGATTCTTGCCTTTGATTCACAAACATTTACACCAGTCAGGGAAGTCATGATAAACAAACCCTGTAAATCAGGCCACCCCGGGCCATGTCATCAGCATATTTGAATATCTTAACAATGTTTTTCTCTTTCACTTTATCTATCTGAATAGAAAACAATCATGGTGATAACGCAGAGCCCCAAGGGGCCACTTTGCTTGAAATAACCTCATCAGAGAAACGCTCTTCATTCCCCTCCTGTCTGTGCTTAAGAGCCTGTTGACCCAGACAACACTCAAGGCTCCCATTTACCGCCAGTGGAGACTCATGCTGTTAGAGCGTGACGATCACTTTATTCCATGTTTTCTAGGGAAGTGTATTTGACTAGGCCTGCAACTAACGATTGTTTTCATTGCTGATTAATCTGAGGATTATTTTCTTGTTTAAAGGTGCCCTGTGGAGTTTTTTATCGCTTGACACAATACACACTACACATTCCTGCCAGTGGTTTCACACTATTCCACTGATCAACAGGTGGTGGTAATGTGCAAAGAAGCACAGCAATGTGTCGACAAAGGCGGCGAAGAAGAAGACAGATAGTTTTTATTCATCATGTTTGTTAGACTTAAAGGATTCACACAATGTGAGAAACATGGAATATATACATATATTTTGTCTGTTTACAAGAATACTCAGTTAACTTGTTGGTCTATTAGGAAAATAATGTGTTTCTGGAACCAGAGAATGTTCAGAATAACTGGGTTGTCTTTTGCAGCTGGCTGTTTCCCTAAAGCAGGTGTGTCCAAACTTTTCCCCTGGAGGGCCAAAGCTAATCTCAATAGGGGCCACAGGCCGACAGCAAACTATTGTATTCTAGTGTTAAAGTACAAAATGGCACTTTGATTTCAAACTTCTGTAATTGACTGTCAGTCCCCACCCACCATGCTCAGATTATGAAAAATAATGAATAATAATTAAAGCGACATTGTGTAGTATTTTAAGTATTTTATTAGCTAAAATCAATGTCTTCATTCATAAATGTGTCGTCATTGGTGTAAAATTACCTCTGCCAATGATCTGACTTATCCTCGTAAGCGAAGAATTTCTTATCTGTATATACATTGGACGGGCAAGTCCATGGAGGCTTCCATGTTGTTCCGCCATTTTGAAAAACTATAATGGCCGAGAGGGACATAAAGCAGTAGCCTACCTGTCTAGCTAATCCACAACGCGTTTTCGTTCAGAGCCAGCGTCACATGACTGAAACCAGCTATAACGGAGAAGGAGATCAGTGAGAGGCGCTTGTCACTGCCCCGGCACATTAGTTAATAATGGAGGGTCATACTTATGCCGAGCCACAGGAGAAGGAATCCTCGTCGCCAAAAAAAAGCGAAAAAGGGAATTAAAAAGGCAACGTGACCAGCGAATTAAAAAAACTAACTAATTAACATTAACATTAGTGACTGTCTACTGAGAAATTTAGTGAGTCCTTTTTTTTTAAGATTAAGATATTATTTGGGCTTTTATTGCCTTTATTTAAAAGTAGCAGCTGTGCAGAGACTGGAAAGTGGAGAAAGAGACAGAAGATGACAGACAGCTTCTCTACCAGGTGAGCAACCAGGTGCCCCAAGTTTTTATAACTTAAAAACAATCACAAATTTGCATAGGACCTTAGTTACACAACCTCCTTTCCACTTGTGTCTCACCTTACAAGGTCTGCAATTACAGCTGTTAGTGGTTCATTATTAAAGGGTTCTTCCATTACAATTATCTATAAAGTCTGGAGTTGTAATGTTAATAAATTGTTATTCTGGTACGTCTTATTATATAAAGGTAGCATGTTTTCCTTTAAGAAATAAAAACAATAGTTACAGTATTGTACCCATCAGGGACGTGTAAATCAGTACAGCTGCAGTTTGCCGTGGCTCCACAAGGGCGCAGCAGAGATCATAGTTTGACTTCGTTCAAATGAATTCCAGGTATGCCTTTGTGATTTAAGATGACAGTTGAAAATACCAGCCTTATTACAAGCATTCAAACTCCTCACTGATCTATGAACAACACACTACCTCACATTCCTTCAGGGATTTGTATTATGAAATAAATCAGGTCAGAGTCATTTAAACAGTGGAGGTAGTTTCCATTGCATCAAGGGAGTGCTTGCCCATGCCAAATAGTTCCAGGAAGAAGCACAATACTTAACATCATCTCAGAGCAGAGACAGGTGCTTTACAGTCCAATCTCAGATCTGCTTCTTCACTTCCTTGTGTGGCTTATGAGGGGAAAAACGGAGCAGGATGTAGCTCGATGTTACACCCTTTTCCTGTATGGTCCACATTCATCGTCAGAACCAACCCACACTGACATTCTCATCTCAAAAGTTTAAATGTTTGATAATTGATGATTAATGTTTTCTGCCTTAGTTTCAAACAATAGTTTCGAACATCAGAAACATCCCTTGAGATATACTCTCCCCTGTAATTTTATCAAATGAGGTCAAGGAAATATTTGATGACACTCCAGTGTATATGTGTGTGTGTGTGTGTGTGTGTGTGTGTGTGTGTGACATGCATCCAAGGAGGAAGTTGGAGAGGGCTGTTATTTAAAGGTTTACGTGGTTGGGAAACTTCAATGATCCCAGATCACAAGGAAGGATAAAGTTTACACTTGTGGCCAAGGGCCAGGATGAGATCACACAGACACACAATATACCTGAAGACATTTCCTAACACCTAACCTCAATCTACCGCTCACCACACGCACTTTTCTTTGTATCATAACCATTACTTTCAATGCTTCAAGGAATTGTTTTTATACAGTAAATATGCTTATTCACTTGCTGCTCTTGATGGTAAATATGAAGCTACTGCTAGCAGCTGGTTAGCTCAGCACAAAGACTGGTCACGGGGAAACTGCTGGCATGGCTCTGTCTGAAAGTAACAAAATTTGTGTCTAAAGCCAAGTTAAAAAGGACTAAATGGAAAACCTCATTTAAAATCCAGTTGATAAGTGTAATGATGCAAAAAACTAAAACTCTAGCCTTACTCAGCAGTATGTTATGTGTTCCATATGTTTACATAAGGAAAAGTAATTGAAATCATAATGTATATTTTTTCTCTTCCATATTTCTGTTTTTAGTGGCCTTTAACAAACCCCATTTCCCATAAGCCCGGGGCAACAGTGGGTAAAACATCACATCTCGATAAAATAGGCAAGTCCATCTGTGAATCCTGTATCTATAGTTGTAAAAACAACTTGTGGGTGGGGGATGGTGGTGTCGTGATGGCAGGCGGATTGTTCCATTTGGGCTTCCTTGTTTCCAGTTTTTATGCTAGTTAAGATAAAATAACCATCTGCCAGCTTCATACTAAGTGTACAAGCTTGACAATGGAATCAATCTTCTTATCCAACTGGCGACAAGAAAGCGAAACAACATATTTCCCTCCCAATCCCAAATCTTGTAAACACTGAATGACAGACCTCTACACATATACAAAAATACAACCTGCTCACGCACCCTGCCACACCACCTCCTTTCTCAAACACACCCTTTCCTACACACACACACACACACACACACACACACACACACACACACACACACACACACACACACACACACACACACACATATTTCTCCATTATGTGACCCACTGCTAGCCTACTTTTTGAGGGCCCTGTTGTCATCCCCGGAGGAGTCCGGCACTGACGTGTTGGGCAATCGTGTGTTTGGCAGCTTCCCAGCAGCTGAGACACTCCCAGCTACCCTGTTGCTACCTAATCTGACTCTTGTGCTCACATGCACACACACACACACACAAATGTAGACATGCAGGCAGGTATACGCACTCACGCAACGCTTACGCAAGCCCCAGCCAGCCATGCCCGGGGTAGTCATAACACACAGACTGTGGAGAAATGCCAAGCTCTTATAGGTCAAACAATTATTCACAATCAAAAGTGGATAACATGAAAAAGAATGTATTTGAGTTTAAATAGTGCTGTTCACTGTTTGATGAAATGACCTCGTGTTCCACCGGTTACCGCTGAAGCTGAGGAAAAAAAGAACAAAAGCAGTATATAAGCTCCCCCTTGCGTATTCCAGGAAAAGACACTGACCCACTATTGACATTTGTGTGTTTGAGGAGTTAAATGTTACATTACGCAAAGGTCAGAGAAGAGTAAACGGTTAGAGGCATGGATGGAGAGAAAGATAGTTTTTTTTCCCTTTGTAAGTATGAAATTGAAAGCGCTGAGGAAAATGAGAAAATGTAATGTTTTCTCTCACAGAGATGATGATCTGTGTGGGGAGAATTCTTGCAGAAAACCTTGGAGGCATGCAGTGTGCAGGTGTTTGCATGGGTGTGTGTGAGAAGGATGAGCAGCAGTAATGAACAAAACAAGCCATGTGAATATGAAAAAATGTGATCTTTATTCAACATCTCCACACATATTTCAAATATACATATTTACAACTTTTGTACAATGAATATATCTCTTGTGTGTACCTGTCTGGACTAATAATAGCCTCTAGGTTGTGTCACAAATACATAATTCACAGTGCAATATGACGTTTGTGCACCCGTGTCAGTTTACTCTACGTGTCACATGAATGTGTGACTCACTCTACATGTATGAACCAGAAACAAAACCATTCATCTCTTAAATTACTTTTCTGTGAGACACAATTCAGATTGTCACAAGTCTGCTCCCATCTGGTATCTCGGCAGATGAGATAAAATAATAAAAGAACTGCAACAGATGTTTTATTAGTCGTGTGACCCAAAACTTAAATGCACCCTGCTTCTCAGATATGTAAGATTTAGTACCATTGTCAAAGTAATTGTGCCAGAATGAAGTAGCTGGCCACAGACCCACAGTAGCCTGTAAGGCTAAATGTCACTGAAGCGCTGAATCTGTCTGTCACAGTCCAATATAAAACATCTTTTAGAATGTGGTACATCATGTCACTAACTATGATGACTAGTCTCCATGGATCCACAGCTTTCAACGGCAAAAAAAAAAAAAAGGAAGGGAAAAAAAAGTACCATTAAAAAGGTGAAACAGTCAGAACAGATTCTTCCAGCCAAGGTCAGGACCATTCTCTACAGACACACTCAAGTGTTAGTCATCATCAGACAACCAACATCAAATATCGCCTGACTGCGACTGATTCAGAGCCGTTCAGTTTATGAAACACAGTGATACGAGCACAACACTCAGCACAGCTCAGCTTGACATAATGTTCCAACAGAAATGAACAAAACAGATTCAACTCCTCAACTGAGAAAGTCTTCATTTTTCTGCAATGTGTTTCTTTCTGGTTTGATGGTTCCTTAACTGGATATTTGACACATTTCTTAAAAAATACAAACATTGTTGGAATGAGAGATAATTCATATTGTGTCAGTCGGAGGTACCATTAGAATGTTTTTTTTTCTGTAGCATGCCTTTTAGGTGTAATAATTATTCACCATCTCTGTTGCTGCAAATGTGACCAATTCTTTAAATCAAGAGTTCCTTCCTGCATTTGATTTTGAACCAGAAGTGTTAGTGTTTAGTGGTTTAGCTTTGCCTTATTGCACACGCAGCATTTCAGAAAGCTGAACGGATCGATCGCAGTCAAATTTGCAAGGTCAGACTCAATGTTAATTGACAGTTTCTGTTCTGATGCAACCTTTATCTGATATATTCTGCTTTGAGCATGTTTTTTAAAAAAGTAAATGTTTTAGGTTCAAGGGTTAAAAGTGAGAAAATTACTGAGATGTACTTTTCTCTGTTAGCCATATACAAAGACTTGTGTTAGCCCAATGCCACTGCTTACTGTTGAGTGTGTGTGTGAGACCTAATCTCCCTGCTTTTCTTACATTAGCAACACCCTGCCTTTCTCAACCTTCTGTGCATGGTGTGAGATTTGTAAATGCTCTCCATTTGCTGAGATGTTGCCAGATTGGCAGCGAAAACACCTTCGTAGCGTCCCCGCTGAGGGTGACACATCAGGCTTCTGCTAACCATCTTTCTCACTCTGTGACACCGCCTGCTGCGAGACGTCAAGCTTGTACTAGGCCTTCCTCGAGCCGGTCGGTGAGTCAGCCGGTGGAGCCTCCAGCCTGGTCAGAGAGAGTGAGAGGAAAAACATCCCGCTCTCCTCGCCTCCCGTTCAGGATTCATCTAATGCCTTCTGAAGCCTTGTGAGTCCAGGCTGAGAGCAAGCATTGGTGACTACTGTTTGCCATGGGTTAATTTTGTGTGATATACTCACAGTAGCCTGCAGAGATTATTTTGTTAACATAATCTGGCAAAGTCTGAGTCCTTGTTATATCTTTTAGCACCAAATAATTTCAAAAAACACACATATAGAAAAACAATGAATGATCATTGTGAACAATGCCCTTAGCAAGTAACACAAATACGACAACAAAATACAGTACAGTTGTAGAAAGCTTGAGGGTGTATGTACACTCAACAGTACACAAATGGGTTTCTAAAAAGTGCCAATGTAAAAAAACAACAATGAATCCCTCATAGCGATTTTTGTTTTGGTCCCTCAGCCAGACTCAGCTGAATCAAGTCCGTCAGCAGAACAGATCACTGTCCTCTTCCACGTCAAAGGATGGCACCATCTGTTCCGCCGAGCTCACTTCCTGTTCGCCTGGCACCACTTCCTGCGACGACGGCGGCTGGTGGAACCATGGGTGAGCGAACAGCTCAGTCGCCGTGAGTCTCTCCCAGGGATCTTTCCTCAGCAGGCTCTGGAGCAGACACTTGGCCTTGGGCGACAAGCCCTCTGGCAAACAGCACTGGCCTCTGCGGATTTTGGAAAACAGCGTGGCTGGGTCTGGGTCATGGAAGGGGTAGCGGCCAACCAGCATGGTGTACAGCATGACCCCCAGGCTCCACATGTCAGCCATCTTGCCAGAGTAAGGCGCGGAGCTGCTGAGGATCTCTGGGCTGACGTAGGCGGGGCAGCCATGAGTGTCTGACATGGAGTCGTCGTTGGGATCTTCTAGGACGCGACAGTCCTCAAGGCTTTCAAGTCTCACCTGTGTTCTGTGAAGAAAAAGTCAAAATAAGGTCAGGACATTTCAAAGGACCTTTAAGAGCTTAGACAATACTGAAAATCTTTTGTTTAGTACATAGGAGATTCCTTTCTCATAGCTGCATGTCTACTCACAGCAGATTGCTGAGAGAGATATGATGGGAATGATATGTTATCTTACACAAAATCAACTTTACACATTGTGGTGAAATCTAAGAACTTAATGTTCTTTCCCCTCACCCAAATCCACATTTCACAAGTAGAATATTTTTTGCAGAATGTCATGTTGTTGTTGGAAATTATGTCCTCAGAGTTCCCATGTACAACAATATTTAAAGCACACGTCACTCCTTGATCTAGTACACCACTGAGTGTGTGTGTGTGTGTGTGTGTGTGTGTTTGCATGTGTGTGTGTGTGTGTGTGTTTGCATGTGTGTGTGTGTGTGTGCGTGTGCGTGTGTGTGTGTGTGTGTGTGTGTGTGTGAGTGAGTCTATTTCTAACAGTGGCTTTGTTTAAGACTGTCAAACATTTCAGAGATCTGTTAAATGTAAGTCACTGATTGCATCATGGAAAATCAAGCATCCCTCCTGTATCCTTACAGTAAGCTGCACAGCGGACAGACAGATGGACCAACACACACTCGTGCACACGCACACACACACACACTTGACACCAGTGAACTTATTCTGACCTAAGTGCACAACAGTGAGTCCCGTTTGAGAAGCATAGCTGCCGAAGCAAATTTCCAATGACATCCTGGCACACACGTGGTCACATAAACACATATAAATAAAGTCCAGCACCCTCTTCCTCCCCATACTCCTACACACACAATGCTATATTTAGCCATGTTAATGACAGGACATACATTTAGTCCTCCACCAGACCAACTAAGATTGTGAGGGTGTATTTGTAGAATGAGACATTTACCACTGAAACACTCTTGAGTGACTGATGGGAGAACTTTTGCATTGTCTAATGGCATAAAAATAACAATAAATCATTTCAAGAGTGATTTTCTGCAGCTATGGACGTGCTGGTTTGAAATGAAAAGTCAATTTCTGCCTCTTGATATTTGTTCCAGAGACTAACGATGTGATTGAGTTTTTATCAAGTCAAAGATGCATAAGATGTGTCGCCTCTGTGAAACGTTTCAGTTGTCAGACAGAGTGGCCGGAGAGAAAGAATCAGACAGCGAGAGAGAGAATGAAAGAAGTGACAGCCAGAAGGACCAAGATAGAAAGCAACAGATATTTAAACACCGAGATAGTGGAGGAGATAAGTCAGGAGAGGAGAATGAGAGATGGAGACAGAAAAGGAAACAGAACAGAGAGAGTTAGAGGGGTGGAGAGAGTGACTCATCCTTCTGTTGAGAGTACATATCTTCTCTCCTCCTCCCTCTCTCGCTCTCATTCTCGAGCTGAGGCTATCTGCACCTGGGTCCCACACTCGCGGCGCCAGCCATCCCATAATTACCCTCAAATGGCTGTTGCCACATCAGTGACGCACGGGAAGGCTGGCCCAGCAGTGGAGCTCTGCATGCTTCATAGTGCTAGTCACCTTCCCTAAACTGGCTTTTTCAACTGCACTGTGTGTGTGTGTGTGTGTGTGTGTGTGTGTGTGTGTGTGTGTGTGTGTGTGTGTGTGTGTGTGTGTGTGTGTGTGTGTGTGAATGAAGACTGCATTTGTCAAATTGTTGTGACTTTCTCTGTCTCTGGCTCGCCCTGCTGCATTGTTGGCCGAGACGTTGCATCACAGCGTGATTGTTGGGGTTTCAAAGATGCCTGATTGTGAATTTGGGGGAATGTATGACGGAATAAATGAGGTCAGAACAACAACATTTCAAGGAGACTTATGTTTGAAAAGTCTGTGTGACAGTGGCAGCAATCTCAGGGAGCACGAAACGCCAGATTATCTGGAAACGAAAAGCCAAATTCTATGATGTCACAGAGCTATCAGCGAAATCTGCAGCTTTGTTTTTTTACATTCACATCACAGCAAGATCATTTGTAATGCAACTGTAGTGTGTCGCTGGGCAAAGTGTAAAGAGAAGTCAGTGTTCAAAAAAAAAATGTCATCCCACAACTCCAGGGTCAAGTGGGTCTTGTGGGTCAGTCTGCTGACATTAATGTTGCAATGCTGTCACCCAGCTAACAAAATACTGAATTACAGTAAAAAAAACCGCACTTCAGCTTGCAAGGGGCTGGAGCTTTACAGTTCTGAATGTGTAATCAGCACACATACAAACATGCATGTATGGACACACTCACACACAAAGAAAGAAAAGGAGCTATGCAGCCCCCCCTCCCCTCCCCTCCCTCCTCTCCTTCCCCTCTGCACATATACACTGTGACTCATCGCTCTGCAGCCGTATAGCTATCACAGGGACACAACCAACTTCAACTTCTCTCACTGGCTGTCTGCTCTCATTCATCCAGTGTGACCCTGCAGACCCAGAGGTCATGGCTGGGGAATGTTACTGTTGAAAAGTCTCCATGAAAAAGGGCCATTGGAAAGCCAGAGGGGGGGTTGTGTGGCATCAGCGGGTGCTTACAGGAAAGGGAGTGACGCAAGGGCAAAGAGGCGACAAATAGTTTTGTAAGCAGGGGTTTTGTGTGTCTTCCTGAACAGAATGCAGTACTCAGAGATGCAGACATTAAGGCATGTGTGTGTGTGGGTGTGTGTGTGTGGGAGCAAGTTCAAAGCACAGCGCTTTGAACTACTCCTTCATGGATGAAAGTGTATTTGAATGAATCCTAGTTGGAAGCATCAGTTATTCTGCAGCATAGTTATGATGTAATTTATTAATAAATAATGAGTAATAAATATATTCCAAGATATAGACCGCAGAAGGGGGATGATTGTCTCATTCACCAGCCTCGTCTAGCAGCTCTGCCAAACTACCACCCACTACGTTCACACATGCACACACACACACACACATGCAAAACAAACACACAACAAGCATACAAAGAGACACATCGAGAGAGTGAGAAAGGGAGACAGACAGAGAGGGCGAAAATCTGGGAAGCAATGCAGTCTGCCTCCACAAGTACAGAACCTCCTACTCTATCTGTGCCCACATCAATATCTGCACACATGGCCTGTGTGTATCAGCTGCTGCCATGTTTGCTCCGTCCCACTACACTGCATGTATTTAAGTCTGAGAGCATCCAAATAAAGTAAACTGATACTATTAGAGCTGCACGAAATTGAGAATTGGATGCTGTGCAGGTGGGGATGGTTGTCGGAAACTTTGCCTTTCAGAATCAACATTTTATGCCTGTTTCCTTGAAAGTAGCAGACTTTCTCACCTTTTCTCATCGGTGAAGACAAACTTGCGCAGCTTGAGGTCACCCAGCACAATGCCAGCCTGGTGGCAGTGCGCCACAGCCAAGGCCACCTGGCGGAAAAGCCTGCAGGCGTGCTCCTCGTCCAGCCTGCGACAGCTCTTCACCAAGGTGTGCATGTCCCCAAAGTCCTTGTCCAGGAACACGTAGGCCTTGCATTCGCCAAGGATGATGTCCCTGATGCCGGCCACATTCTTGTGGGGTGGTAGTATCCCGTAGGGTCTGATCTTTTCCTGGTACACCCCCATTTCAAGGACCTGGGAGAGAGAGATGAGTAGAAGAGGAGGAGGGACAGGGATGCAGGATGGAAAATTGGGAGGGAGGGAGTGTGTGAGAAGAGGCAATGGGTCAGTGTGTTCTTAATGATCATCTGAGGAAACAACCGTGCAAATTTGGCAGCCAGTTAAAAAAATGCGTAGGATATGCTTTGATTCCAGCTCAATACGCTGCTTTTGCATGAGCATGACAAATGAATCACCAAAGCATGAAGTAATTAACTTTATTAATCAACAAAGCCAAAACGCCTGCATGTCTATATCGCAAAATAAACACATTGATGTGGAATAGCGGAGGGCCCTGTCATTATCAGACCAGATCATGATAGTCTCTCTTTGTCTCACATGTTTGCATTTTTGTGTGTGTGTCACGGCGTGGCGTATTTCAGTGACGTGTATGCAAATGAGCCGAGTTGACAGACACAGTGTGAAGCCATATCGTGCCAAAGATAGGTGGACTTGAATCGGTAGGCTGTGTTTCCACAACACAAGCACAGGGCTATGGGGTTGCCTGGTCTTTCATGCATTTGTAAACAGATTTAAAATCATCCTAGACACAATAGAGCCTTGTATGGTTCGGGATTTAAAAAATCATGAAGCAACACTGCCATTGCGCAAAGTGTGGCACATTTCGCGTGAGAATGACATTGGGTGAAAAAGTCGGCTAAATGCTGATGACATGTCAGACAGGCTTGTTGAGCAACGCGATGTCTTGAAACACCATTCATTCAAAGAAATTGCACAATGACGGGATTGCGCATACCTTGCACAGCAGCTCGTCGCCGGTGTCGGTGTTCATCGCGCTGTGCACGCTCTCCCGGTCCGCAAGAGGTAGAAGCAGAAACGGTCCTATCCTGGATGGCCCCTGGTGGATCGCCGGGACGGGGTTTGAGACGGGGCTGACCGGGGACCCGGGAGAGGTGCCGAGGAGGAGTCCCTGCGTGTCCCCCGCCTCGGCGCTCAGCCTGGCGCATTTCGCCGGCGGCTGATCGTCTGAGTCCAGCCGCTTGTGCGCGACTCTCCCGGTGCGGATGCAGGAGGGTGCCGGGCTGCTCCACTGCAAGTTCATCCTCCTGATAGACGGATTCAACGTGGAAGCAAAAAAAAAAAAAAAAAAAAAAAAACGAGACCCCTTGACTTGTTTAGGATGTGTCCCTTGATGGTTAGAATAAACTACAAACTGCGCGCTCCATTTCTCCGTGTGAGGCTCATTGTAGTTGAGATATAAATGAAACTTCAGCAGATTCAGTGACGCCGCGTTTTTTTCCCTCTCCTCTCTCTGGTAATAATCCAACCCACGTCCTTTCGTTTGCCCGTGGCTCTGAGGTCTGTGTACTTTTTGGTGAGAAAATCCGGATCCCTCAGAGCCCAGTCTGTGAGAGAGAGAGAGAGAGAGAGAGAGAGAGAGAGAGAGAGAGAGAAATAAAGACAGGGAGAGAAAGAGAGAAAGAGGGACCGCCTCACACTCAGAGAGAGAGGCAGAGAGTGAGTGAGTTCCAGTGATGTTGAGATCAGAGCTCAAACACTCCGCCCGACCAGTCCAGCCTCCTGGTGACACAACCATTGAGCAATCCTGTAACGGCACCGACTCTAGCTCCAGCTCGGCTCTGATGAAACTGCCTGCTGTATTACCTTTCACAGAGGACCGCGTGAGCATATGGTGCAAACATTAACGTTATGTTCCCCGTATTTGCCACGGTGTCATTAATGTCGAAATTCCTGCGCTGGTATTGAAAAAAACAAAACAAAAACAACCTTGACCGTGTGAAAGGAATGAAGAAATCATCTGCCACTTATCATGGCTGCCTCATCAAGCACATGTTTTTAGACAATAATTAACAATCTTTAAAACTCTTTCTCTGACTCAGTTGTTCCTTAATGCTCTTATTGCAGTTTATTACCGGTTGCAACAGACCTCCTGTATGGCACCTGAAAGTGTTTGCTCTCCAAATGTTATGCCTCAAGTGTGAACTAGCCAGTACAAAGCTTCAGTGTATGAGCCTTAACTCTAGCTTTAACATCACCATGATATTTTCCCATGCAGAGCTTGTTTGTTATGTGGATATGACTCACCCCCATAAAGCCTCAGTGGTGCTGGGCTATAAGCATTCACATAAAATATGCCAGCGCGGCTCCGTAAACAACATCACAGCAGCTGGGCTCTCAGAGACAGACACTGATCCCAGGCTAAAATGACTTGTATAGCAAATTATCACAAACAAGCGAGCCAATACTGTGCAATCTGTGTGAAAATTATGCAATATTCTTGAAAAAAAAAGTATAATCAGTGAACTATGGACTGTTGTAAGAACCAGAAATTGAAGGGTGAAGTACAGTATACAGTCAGTTGGAAAATCATTCCTGTGATGATGAGTGTTGAGATGGGCTGACGATGTGAGGTAATTACAAATGTGCATGTTTGTCATCTTGCGCACACACACGACCATGTGTGAGTTGCGCAAGAGTCCTCTTTTTCCACTGCTTTATGTTGAACGAGCATAGTGGCTGCAGTCGAGGCTCACTGAGCGTTCACTGAAACACAGAGCACCAGCTGGCCCGTGTGTGTACGCACTATCGCCACTCTCTTGCACAACCCCTCCTGCCAAACAGAAGCATGCCGTTCCAAACCATTTCTTTTTTACATTTGCAACATGGTTCTTTCTGCAAGAGGTCACACACTTAACCAGGTCACAGCAGCTCAGCTCAGCTTGACTCAAAAAGGTCATGTGAACCTGTCTCTGCAGGCCGTCCAAACATGGATGAGCTGCAGATTCCATAGGAATGATGGCCTGTTATTTTTAGGCCTGCATTCTTTCTTTGTGCAGTGGTCGTCCTATGAATAAGGTGACTCACCGACTGACTGATGTGTGTGTGTCTCTGTGAGCAAGTGTGTTTGTCATGCCGTCGAGCAGGCACAGAAACAGGTTTCCTCTCTCTCTCTCTCTCCCTGTCTCTCTCTCTAAGAAGTTCAAAAAGCAGGATGAACAGTCACTGTGTGAATGTGCAACAGAGCAACAGAAGGCCAAAAGGTGTATTGTTATCTGACAATAGTCCGGACCCAGTGTGTCAGTGTGTTTATGTGTGACACAGTGTTTAGATGTTCTCTGGAAAATGTGACTTATTTGTGCTGGCGGTGATAAACAAAAAGGACTTGCAGGTGTGTGTGATATTACAATTTGTTCCAATGTAATCACATTGGAATCAAGGTCACACCAGACCACAGTATATGTGTAGGCTGTATGTTATACAAGATAGTTTATGTTGTCGGGCTGCAGGTTGTAGCATTATATAGCTGGACATTCAGTGTGTACCTCATGGTGTATGTGGGTGTGTGTTATGTGTGTGTATACAGTGCCTGCGTAGGAGTGTGGCTGCCTCCCCATGCCAGTGAGCTAGAAGAGAAAACAGTATTCAGGGCATGCTCTCCCTTGTTATAATTAGCTGAGTCACTCACCACCAGCAGCGGTAAAGAGAGGCTGGGAATTGATCTGCTCTGAGAATAGTTCAATCTGATCTGGCTGCCAGCCAGCCATCGCTGTTAATTATTCTTCATTTGAGCTGCTCTGAACAGAGCTCTAGACTTGAGACAAGGACTCGAGTCAGACGTACAGACTTGCAACTTGACTTGAAAGTAAAATCTTAAGTTTTGAAATAGTAAAACCCCAGTGAAATAACCTTTAAATGAGCCATACCACAGGCTTAGATTAACCTGGTGCTTTGCTTATAAATCTGTCTTTCTAGTGTAGATATTGAATAATGGCCATAGATAGATGCCTTATGATTAGATGAACCAAACAAATAATAAATAATTTCATTTGAAACAACAATACACTGCCAGCTGTTCCAGTTGCAGGAGGAGAAAGAAGTGAACAGTTGTTTTTCATGTGTTCTTTCCTGCTTTTCGTGTTGCAATTTGTTAACAATCAAAACCAGATATTGTACAAACAAATAGAGAATAGCTTCTTTTTAATTAGCTGACTTGATTGTATTTGAGCTAATATTGATTTTATTTAGCTGTAACTGTCATTAGCCGTGTATTTGTATATATATATCTGTATATAACATATTTCGGAGAATTTTGAAGGATCGCGTTAGAAAAAAGGTTGAAGAAGCTGCACAATTGCTGCAATACGTTTGTATGGATACACGGCTGCTGATGAAAGCGCAGCAGCCATTTCAGTTAGCTGAAACTGTAGTTGTCAAGAGATTCCCACTATAGGAGATTTTTTTCATCTTGGCTGCTTATAACATGAACACAGGGTCACCCATGATAGGGTGAAAGTGAGCCAGCATGCAAAATACCAGAACCCTGAAACTGAAGCAGTTAAATGGAATTCAGCCATCATTCATTTTATTTTTTTTACACCAGTGCTTTTCCTACACTGACATTTCGTAAAAAAAAAAGCACATGTGCTCACAGGGACCCAAACCTGCAGCACTAGCTGTTAAATATAGATTTAGGTATGTTTTAGCTGAATGTTAGTCCATAGCTGTTTGTAATGTTTGTTTGTAGCTGTATGTAATGTACATTTGTTTAGTCATTATTATTTAATCATATTGATTAATGATTGTCCTGAGGATATGAACTAGAAGATCTATGTTAGCCAATAGGCACATTGAACCTCAAACATTTTCATCCCTGCACAGACATCAGCATTTCCGTAACTGGTGTGCAAAACTATGGCAAATATGGTAAGTACAGCTGAACTTGGACCCCATTTCTAAAAAAAAAAAAAAAAGTCACTTGAGGATAGATGGAAGTAAGAGTGCTGTATGCAACTCTAGTCTTTTTACAAGTCTGTCATCTTCCTCTATTGGTATTATACTGACTGCTACCACTTTTCCTTCTATGAATTTTGTAAAGTAGAACTTGTTTTCTGCAAATGCTTGGTTGTCTGCCATTACCATTGTGTTTTTGGACAGCTGACAATTTGCTATGAATGTAGAAGTAGAGTGTGGGAGATAGAAGTGGGCCACTGGATATATAAGTTAGCAATAAAAATGATTGAATTTCTATTCTGTCGGTGTAAATTCTGCCTTTGGAACAAAAGAAAAAAAAAATCTTATAAGACTGCAGTACTCCTCTGGTATACTGTATATCATGACATAAGCTCCTAGACACTGTGAACTGGATGAACTCAAGTTTTGAGGTCTCTTCCAAAATTAGTCATCAGCCCGCTATAACCAAACCTACTGAATATGCTCTATATTTTCACAACCCTGGCTGACCTCAAGGACAATCAATCAAACTAGGAGCTGAGATGGAGGATTGTTTCATGTGGATGGACTCCAGACTGTAGTCTGGCCAAAAATATCTGCCTTCCTTTGCTAGTTATCCCAATCTGTCCATCCTTATTTCTTTGATCTGTTAGGTTGAGTCAGGCTTGGTTAGATTAGAGAGACTGGAATTTTGGCTCAAAACACAGTTTAATACATACTTTTAATTTTTACAATATGCTCTGCTCAGATTTTACAGCACATGACCGCTAATTGTTTTTACATAGGAACACACACCTACATATGGTTCCCCATTGATTGAAAACATTTGTTCTCACACAGGGGAGTTGTCATGTTTGCACATACTCAGCACAAAGACTTCCCTAAAGGTCTTCTGAGAAATTGTAAAGCTTTAGCTGAAAGTAAAATTCTTCATGTACCATCGACATTGTATTCACGTGAATTGACCGTCCTAGAGCTCGTGTTTCATAGAAACAGCTGTAACCTTCATTTTAACCCAAGACAGAAAAAACTGTTTAAAGCTGAAACCCACAATCTTTGGTAATGAATAATGGTGGAATATGGTGAAACACTGATAACAATACATTTACGGTGGGTGGAGATGCTCTCTCTTTTATTCTAAGAATAATCCATTTCTGAACAGAAGAATAACTACGGTAATATTCCTCTTTTGACAAATGTTAAACCTAAATGTTGGTTCCTATTCACGGTGCCAATGCTCCCAACTAGTAGAGATGGGCGACCAAGGGGAAAACCACCATTGCAGTACATTCATTTTGTAGACCCTTCTCTTCAAAGGAAATTACAATAAGCCCATTCAAATCCACAAACACAAGCTGTCATCAAAAACCCCCAAACTCCCAAATAACATATTATAATAATAATATAATAATTAGAGAAGGGGTGTAGTCTGAAGAGGTGGATTTTCAGCCTGCAGCAGAAGATGGACCTCTGCTCACTTTAGTGGGGAGTTCATTCCACCACTGTAGGGCCAGAACAGAAAAGATTAATAAATTAATATCAATATTGGTGATTCTGGCTATGACATTGCTTAGTATAGAAATGCGGTACTGCCAACCCCTAACATGTAGTTTCTCAGTAAGGTGTTGCATCACAAGGGTCCAGAACAGCTTCAGTGCTCTTTGGCATATTTTCTTCAAGTCTCTGAACCAGTCTTCCAAAGGATATTTCCTCATTTAGTGCTTTGGTTATAGTGGGGAAGAGTGCTGTCTAATACACTGGTCTGCAATATAATCTCCCATAGGTCTTCAACATAGGTTGAGATCTGGTGACTGTGGAGGTCATCGCATTTTCTCATACTCAGC